TGTCCCTTGGGTCCATCAGCTATGTGGAGAGAGGAGGTCTGATACATGGGCAACATCTGGCTCTTCTCAACTTAGGGCACCGGCTTTGTGTTTGGATTTCCCATCTGCAATGGTCTATTAAAATAATAGCCATAAAAATTGGCTGTAAATTACAACTATTTTTGAGCTATCAAAATTGGCATTTCATAGAGCATTGTTAATTATATGCCAATTATACGATAACAACGTTCTTACATTATTAGCCTAGGTATAAAAAACTAAGTCTTAACATTTTATAAAATGAAACATCTTCGCAGTATCTAAAGCCCTTATGAGAAGTATAAAACAAAGACACAATGCTTTACTTAAAATACATATGCACACATTCTACTAGCGTATTTCATACGAAGAACTTCAAAACTCGTCCACCACATTTCAGGTCAACATTTTTCTCAACGCACACATCAGGGCGAAACTCGGGTTCGAATACTCGCTGGAAAGTGGCGTTATCCCCTGCAGCCGTTTGCTCGGCGACCACGATTCACAGGTCTACAGCTTGCTGATTATCCAGCTCGCCTTTTTCTCATTACAGACGATCATCATTTGTTGGCTTATCAAAGAGAGAGTTGTAAGCACCAATTGTTTTTTTAAAACTTTACAAATATTTTTTAAACAAGAGATATATAATAAAAGAAGTAAAAATTCCCATTTAAAATTTTTTTTTTATGGAATGGTGTGGTCGGAGGATGAGAGATTGAACCACCGATAACACGAAAGTCTCGAGTTCAAATCCCGGGCTTGTCTGAAGAATGTGTTTCCAGCTCTGGTGAATACCAGAATCATATAAGGGGGAAACAAAGGCGGCTGGGCACAGTGCTGACTGCACCATCCGTTTATATGCCGAGGTCATAGAATCATTTTATTTCGCTGAAAGACGAAAGCGAATTTCTAGAAACGTGATCTTTCTTTTTTTTTTAAATGATAAACTAAATTTTAAAATGTTTTTTTATTATCTTGCATAACATCCCATCTCATATATCACATCCCACCTTATATATCACATACAACCTCATACATCACATCCAATCTCATACATCACATCCCATCTCATATATCACATCTCGTCTTATATATCACATCCCATGTCATATATCACATCTTATCTCATATATCACATCCCAACCCATATACCACATCCCATCTCATATATCACATCCCATCTCATATATCACATCCCATGTCATATATCACATCTTATCTCATATATCACATCCCAACCCATATACCACATCCCATCTCATATATCACATCCCAGCTCATATATCACATCCCAACTCATATATCACATCCCAACTCATATATCACATCCCAACTCATATATCACATCCCAACTCATATATCACATCCCATCTCATATATCACATCCCAAATCATATATCACATCCCAACTCATATATCACATCCCATCTCATATATCACATCCCAAATCATATATCACATCCCAAATCATATATCACATCCCATCTCATATATCACATCCCATCTCATATATCACATCCCAGCTTCCCTTAACGTATCCTACTCTGTCTACCATGTCTAAGTCTGGGACCAAAAAAATGGAATCCTTCACTGGCGTTCCCATCTGGCTGTCATGGCTGACCAACTTCCTGTTTGACCTCGGCCTTCACGTCGCGTGTGCCGCCATCTTGTGGGCGTGTCTGCTGACCCAGAGGACGGTCCAGGAGCTGACGACACAGCTGCCACTTCTCGTCTGCTCCCAGCTGCTGTTTGTGCTGGATGCCCTCCCCTTCTGCTACCTCTACCAGATGCTGTTCGTCAGGTCGACGTTAGCGGTCTTCGTTCTCATTGTTTTTACTTTACTCGACTGTAAGTTGGTTTTTTTTTTACTTGTGTAGAACACACACACACATACACACACGCACACACACACAGACACACACACACACTAACATTAAAATTAACACTAACACTAACATACACACACTCTAACACACATACTAACCCACTAAAACACACAAAAACTAACATACACTCACACACACACTAAGACAAACTCACACACATACACACACTAAAACACCCATACTAACTCACTAAAACACACATAAACTAACACACACACACACTAAGACAAACTAACACACATACACACACTATAACACCCATACTAACTCACTAAAACAAACGAAAATGAACACACACACACTAACCCACACACGAACCCACACACTCACTAAGACAAACTAACACACACTAGCACACACACACTAACACATACTAACACATACTAACACACACACTAACACACACACACACTATAACACACACAACTAACACACACACAACGAAAAAACGAAGCATATATGTTTGTACAAATTTCTCTCTGTACATGGAGTTAGCGATGTTTCTAAACACACACATATATATATATATATATATATATATATATATATATATATATATATATATATATATATATATATATATATATATATATATATATATATATATATATATATATATATATATATATATATATATATATATATATATATATATATATATATATATATATATATATATATATATATATATATATATATAACACTTCCATCTACGTGTTGATGAAATACGAAATTGAAATCATCCCTCTGTACTGTAATATTTATGTTTTTCTTGCACCAGTCTTTGTATACGTGGATCTCAGTGATGTTCCAGAATCAGACGCCATCGCCTATACTCGTCTTGTGCTCAAATCAGCGTCACCTCATACGTTGTTCTGGTACCATCAAGATTTGCTGCAATACCCAACCTTACAAGGTACGGTGTTATGATCAGAGTTTCTTCTAGGCATCTCTTCGCCCCCCCCCCTCCCCCCCCCCCCCGAATAAAGTCTAACGCACCCCCCCCCCCAAACGAAAAGGAATTTATATAGAAAATATATACTTTTAACAGTGTCCGCCCCCCCCCCCCCCAACCGCCGAATATTTCAAGAGCCCCCCCCCCTACCCCCTGGAGAAAAAAGTCTGGTAGAAACACTGGTTATGATAAGCTATATTTATTTGACGGGGAGATGTTTACGTTTAGTAATATGACACGACAGATATTGAAAGCTGGTGACTTTACAGTTGGTCATTAAAAGATGGGTCTTGGTCATTAAAAGCTGGATCTTTACAGTTGGTCATTAAAAGCTGGATCTTTACAGTTGGTCATTAAAAGCTGGATCTTTACAGTTGGTCATTAAAAGCTGGATCTTTACAGTTGGTCATTAAAAGCTGGATCTTTACAGTTGGTCATTAAAAGCTGGATCTTTACAGTTGGTCATTAAAAGCTGGATCTTTACAGTTGGTCATTAAAAGCTGGATCTTTACAGTTGGTCATTAAAAGCTGGATCTTTGAATGGGTCATTAAAAGACGGGTCTTTACAGTTGGTCATTAAAAGCTGGTGACTTTACAGTTGGTCATTAAAAGCTGGATCTTTGCAGTTGGTCATAAAAAGCTGGATCTTTGCAGTTGGTCATAAAAAGCTGGATCTTTACAGTTGGTCATTAAAAGATGTGTCTTTATAGTTAGTCATTAAAAGCTGGATTTTTACAGTTGGTCATTAAAAGATGGATCTTTACAGTTGGTCATTAAAAGCTGGATCTTTACAGTTGGTCATTAAAAGATGGATCTTTACAGTTGGTCATTAAAAGATGGGTCTTGGTCATTAAAACTGGATCTTTACAGTTGGTCATTAAAAGCTGGATCTTTACAGTTGGTCATTAAAAGCTGGTGACTTTACTGTTGGTCATTAAAAGCTGGTGACTTTACTGTTGGTCATTAAAAGATGGGTCTTGGTCATTAAAAGCTGGTGACTTTACTGTTGGTCATTAAAAGCTGGTGACTTTACTGTTGGTCATTAAAAACTGGTGACTTTACAGTTGGTCATTAAAAGATGGGTCTTTGCAGTTGGTCATTAAAAGATGGGTCTTTACTGTTGGTCATTAAAAGATGGGTCTTGGTCATTAAAAGCTGGATCTTTACTGTTGGTCATTAAAAGATGGGTCTTTATAGTTAGTTATTAAAAGCTTAGTTAGGTTATTAAAGTCCTTATTGTCTTAATTTATGAGTTAAAAAATTAATATTGAAAGTGTTGGGAAATAATTTTCATTTTTCGAACTGAAAGTGATAATTGTCGACATGTTCATTAAACACAAGTTTTAAAAAATATCATCTTTTACAAAAATTCTAATTATGTCTTTATTTAGTCCTTTAGCACTTACTTCCCTTTGATAAATTAGGAAAACACAATTACTTCCCTTTATAAAAAAACATTGCATTAGTGGAAAAGAATTTATTTTTATTACTTTGTTTTGGTGTTGGGAAAAAAAATAATTACATAATTAGCGGGGATTGATCAAGTGCAAATGTTGTAGGTATTTTACGGATAAGCTTGGAGTATTATAATTGTTCATTAAATTGAAACGGGCGCGTTCGTTTAAGTGAGTGCAAAAGACTATGAATAAGTTGGGGTACTATAGTCGTTTATTAAGCTGAAACAGGCGATTCCGCCCCGGGCTAGACTGTGAGCACTTTGCGTTTATGTTCGCGTTAGTGTTTTCTTTGTGTTTAGGTTGGGTTTGCGTTAGTGGTTGCGTTTTGATTTGGTTCGTTTTTGTTCTTTCTTTTTTCGTTTTTGTTTGTGTTTTTTTCTTTGGGCTTGTATTTGTGTTTGTGGTTGTTTTGCATTTGGATTTGGTTTGTTTTCGTTTGTTTTTTTCTTTGTGTTGGTATTGGTGTTTGTGGTTGTGGTTGGGTTTGTTGTTAGGTTTTTGTTCTCGTTTGTATTTGTAATTGTGTTAGCGTTTTGTTTGCGTTTTGTTGTTTTGGTTTTGGTTGGTTGTGGTTTCGGTGGGCAATGCCGGGTTTATGATGATTACTAAACACACAGCTACTGGTCTTTAACAGAAAGGTTTTTCACAGAAGCCAGAGCAGGGCCTGGCCGGGACGGCTAGTTAGATGTTAAATAACATTTTTGGTCAAGCTATGGTGTCACAGAAGATGACTTGTATGTTTGGACAGAGAAACTCAGAAAGTGGCTTAGTTTCACAATTGTATCAAGATTAAACACAGAAATGGATGAGCTAAATGCAGTTTTACAGAAGATTGGATGTGAAGACAAACACATTGGAGATGTTGGGGTTTCAACTTTAAAGCAACTGGCGCTCACTAAAGGACCCTATGTGCCAACATTGAATAGTCCCATACTTAGAATTCACTGCAAATCAAGAATATTTACGCAGCAGAATCAGAGAACTTAGTACTGGCAGCATGAGTGCTTACACCTGGGACAAAGGTGGCAACTATGAAAACAGTGGACAGAACACCTGCCTACAGATGCTGCTTTGGTGACGCACTTATTTTGTAGCTACCTTGACTCTCGTCTTCCTGCTCAACCAAGATATCCAGATGGCAAATCTTTCACATCACAAAACTTTGTCGAAACACCAGACAAACCCAGTGTAGATCGTAAGGATAACCTCCAGATTTACCATAGCAGCATCAACCCTCCACACTTTCAAGTTGTCATTGGGTCACAAATTTATAATTTGTCTAAGGGGAGAAACAACATGTTCCATTCTATACTTCTGTTCCTGTATCATATTAAAATGAAAGAAAGTGGCATGCTTGGGCGGATTAATCTTGGAATGTCAGGCTTAAATATGTTGTGGATATTTGACTGATGCTGCTTTTTAGATATGTATATAAAACTGATGTTTAACTTGCCTTTTAAATGTTTCAATCTAGGCAAAACAAGTTACCTAAGCTGAGTTTTTAAACTATGAATAAAGATATTAGGATTGATTCATTTTCTTACACAGTATTAATTATGATCATTAACTACTAAGATGGTATAGGAGATATAATTTTAAAGTTTTTTAATCAATCTTAATATAGATTAAGCAGATTTACTTCAACTTTAAGTTAGTAATTTTAATTTGATTATTTTACTATTTTTACTTTTGTTCTCATCTTTAGCAAAATATATGATACTGTTAATTTTTTTTTTTTGAATAGGGTTGAATTTGATGATAAAGATATAGCTCTCTGAAGATCAGATCTCTGCTTATGTTTATGTATCAGGACCATCACATTGTTTATACCATTAATTTTAAGCCACTTTTTAAACCATTGACAATGCTTAAACTTGTAAAAATAATAAAAGTACAAAATGTAAAAAAAAAAAAATAACATGTTATAATCGAAGTATGTAAACCACACTGATATTGTACGTGATGTCTGCCATAAAAATAACATTGATTTAATAAAGATTGATAAACTTATTTTTGTATTTGTTATTTCAGATGCCGTACCAGTTTTCAACAAGAACGTCCTATTCACGTTTATACATGCAATTGCTTGCTGGATCCTGCTGTTTGCTGTGGAGTATATAAGTGTTCTGGGGATAGTGTAAGTGGTATTGTGTAAAATATATTTGGATACAATTGGTAGTTTAAGTAACAAAGTATTACAATACGTTTTTGTACCTAGAGTTTTTTTTTTTTTTATAGTTGCAGGCGCTGGAATATTTTTATAGTTATTCTTAAATCATGATTGCTAAGCTGGCCAATAGTATCAAAGGGCTTTTTTAGTGGACGCAGGAAGTTTGATCAATAGGGCTGGTAAGTAGATCACCAACAAGTTCTACGGCTCAATAAAACCTACATGAGCCATAGAACTGGTTGGTGACCTACTTACCAGCCCTATTCCCAAGTGAATGGTTGAAAAAGAAAAGTAGAGCCCAATAAACACCAACATCAAGACCAACACGAACATCAACACGAACATCAACATCAAGAGCAACACGAACATAAACACAAATACGAACATCAACATCAAGACCAACACAAACATCAACACCAACACGAACATCAACATCAAGACCAACACGAACATCAACATCAAGAGCAACACGAACATCAGCACCAACACCAACATTAACACCAGTATTAACATCAACACCAACACGACCATCAACATCAAGACCAACACGAACATCAACACCAAAATCAATACCAACATCAGCACCAACACCAACATCAATGAATTGTTCTAATGTAATTTTAATTGTGTTAATTATCTTATCTATGAACTAACCCCTTTTAAGAAATAATAAATACTGAGTTTTCTAGACATCAATTTAGATTTATGCACAAAAATAAAACCATAAGAATATTGCACATTGTTGATTATGTGGAGTATTTTACTATAAGCATTTCTATCACAAACAATTCCGTCCGAACGTCACAGAATTCATTTGATCTTTGCAGTAATCATTACTCTGTATTCATTCCCGGTAGAGAAGTAGCTCCTTACTTCCTTCCAGATAAATTACATTACATTACTCTGAACTGTAGGTCTATTTATTCCCGGTAGAGAAGTAGCTCCGTACCTTCTAACGTTTAAATTGAATTATCCAACAGACTGTTATCAATCAATACGGTACACATTACCAATTGTAACTGTTGAAAATGTATTATACACACGGACATGAATTACACACGCACATTGTATTTAATTTTTGCGAGGAGTTGAATGCGTATCTAAGTACATTAAATGATACAACTGCATTATAATATATCGGCTAGTCCTACTCAATACCACGAATTATATGAATTTCTATCTATTTACATACTCAGATATCAGTGAGCTCTACTCAATACCACGAATTATAATGTTGACAATGTCTATTTATTTATATACTCCTATATCTGCGAGTCCTACGCAACACCACGAACTATAACGTTGACAATGTCTATCGTATGTAAAATGTCCATCTATTTACATACTCAGATATCGGTGCATACAAAGGTACATGACGAGGCGTATAGAAAAATTTGGAAGAGGGGTCGACATCCCAACAGCAACGGAAAGCGACGAAGATGTCTATCAGGAAAGACAACGAATTCTACATTCAGGCTTCGACGATCTTGTTCGAACCGGTACGCCTACATATTAAAATATTTTGAGAGTCTACCACAAACATGTAAAAATATTATCCTTGCAATGATTACAAACTGCAATTTGAAAAATAAAACTGCATCATATTAAAATAAAGGCTAAAAACAAAAAGCCAATTTCGACTAAATGTCAATACAAATTAAAGAAATGTGTAAAACCACTACAAAAACAAAATTAGTAGAAAACGTTTTAAGAAATTATGTAATAATAATTTATTTTTTTTAATAAAAAGGCCTATTTTGTTCACGTTCATTGGGTACGCTATTCTTTGTTATACACGATTCTATTCTATTTTGAAAATTGTAATTAACGAGAAAAAAAATGTTTCAGTATTTTCCAAATTTTAATACAGTTAAGTTGCATGACTAAAAGTATTTGCGCACCTAATGAACAAAATGTGTATTGCAGAAAATTGTACTTTATATCGGAAATTTAATAAATTCTTTATAAGTTAATAAAAGTTAGTTTGGGAAAAAATGTTTTAATAAATGTGGTCATACAATTGTATTTTAGACCCATTGAAAAAACTTTTACTCAATAAAGTTATTATTTTTTTTATAAAAAAAACGGGCAAAGTATCCAAAAGTGCAAGAAACCCATTTAAAAAAAAACAGGATTTTGCTATTTTTCTTCCTCAGCATAGCCCCTTAAATAAAAGCTTGTGAAATACAGTCGAACACAAAATTTAAAGTCAGCTCCCTACAATTTAACTAAAGTAATGATTTAATTTAAACGCTAAAAAATTTGAAATGTTTTACGATATTGTGTTTATTATATAAATATCTCTCCACATTCAGATGCATTGATTCTGGTGAATGTCAGCAAGAAATATATTATCAATACCAAAGTGTTAACAGCCGTTGACAACACTTGCCTTGGGATCCCCAAAAATGAATGTTTTGGACTTCTTGGACAAAATGGCGCAGGGAAAACAACAATATTCAAAATACTGACTGGGGAATACGCTAGTACATCGGGCCATGTTTACTTCAATGGTCTCAGTCTCGATTCTAACTTGTTTAAAGTAGGTAGTAAATACATTTCTATTGTCTCAATTCTAACTTGTCTAAAGTAGGTAGTGAACACATTTCTATTGCCTCAATTCTAACTTGTTTAAAGTAGGTAGTAAATACATTTCTATTGTCTCAATTCTAACTTGACTAAAGTAAGTAGTGAATACATTTCTATTAAATCAATTCTAATTTGTCTAAAGTAGATAGTTAATACATTTCTGTAGTCTCGATTCTAACTTGTCTAAAGTAGGTAGTGAATACATTTCTATTGCCTCAATTCTAACTCGTCTAAAGTAGGTAGTGAATACATTTCTATTGCCTCAATTCTAACTTGTCTAAAGTAGGTAGTGAATACGTTTCTATTGCCTCAATTCTAACTTGTTTAAAGTAGGTAGTAAATACATTTCTATTGTCTCAATTCTAACTTGTCTAAAGTAGGTAGTAAATACATTTATATGGCCTCAATTCTAACTTCTCTAAAGTAGGTAATAAATATATTTTTGGAGCTTTAGTCTCGATAGAGCTTGTAAGTCTCGGTCTCTCTCGCTTAAAATTCGAAATCTCGTTAGCCACGGATAGACACATTTTCGAACTTAGTTAATTGTTTGGAACACGATTTCTATTGATAACAAAAAACATCGAAACATGGAGACTATTTGTTTCTAAGCCTCCCAATAATACACCAAGAGGACCCAAAATGGATCAGTTATTTTTTTTAACTAATAGAATCAAATTCAGCAAAAGTAGGCCTTTGCTATTTATATTATACTAGCGTACCCTACCCCGCGCGTTTCCGCGGGGATAAAAGAAAGTCTGACGAAATATATATGAAGGGTTTCATGAATGCTTTACCAATCCTATGTTCTTAGACGCGTGAATTTGTTTTCTAAAACTGATTTAGTTAAATCTAAACAATGCCTGTGCTTGGATCATAAATATCGGGACACAGGTTTACCTACACTACCGCATGAAAACCTTGAGTGTGCATTAACTACTCACCGAAAAAATGAGGTAGAACACACTATGGTGACCGCCCATGTGTCAGGGATGTAGATGGGCGCTCTCAGGAGCCCCCGCCCCCCCCCCCTACCCGATTACACTACCGCATAGGCACCGCGTACGGCCCCTGGCTCCTTAAAACTAACAGGCGCCATCGTGCCAAATATAATCCTGTTAACAATGATGCAGATTGTGTCATTCGCTAAAGTGACACAAATGAACAGGTTTTTCTCTTTAACATGTAAAAAAAAATACTTGACGTGTTTTAAACATCAGTGTGACTGATGCAATATGTTAGCGTTACTAATGGTCTATTATTAGATGCTCGATATCAATTTCTGATTAAATTGTCTTAAAAAAGATGCTAATTGCATCATATCGCAAAGTGACGAAACTGTTTGGATTATTTTACGGACAAAAAGAAACATCCCATTTATTAATCTAATCTTGGTTATTTTTTCTGATTATTAAAATAAAACGTATTACATGGCCAATGTGAGCCTTTGGGGGCCGAAACTGAAATTTTTATTTGCAGTCAAATCGCACCCTACCAGGGCGCCGGCGGACACGCCTGATTCAATTTAGTAAGCGTTTGTAGCGCCCCATCCTATCCATTGTCTATCACACTGTTTAGACCGAACGTAGTACCATAGCGATCACGGGAAAGACCAGGGCGCCAAATCGTATCCTGCCGGTGGGTCGCCCATGCATAATTTAATCACATACATTGCTTATATATATATATATATATATATATATATATATATATATATATATATATATATATATATATATATATATGTAACTAGTGTAGGCCTAGTTACTAGTTACTATTGTTAAGAACGCATTACAGTCTGATGCAACTGATAACGAACACAAAGCCGCTGCGTAGATCACAGTCTGACGCAACAGGTGCAGGTGGTGTGGGCTGATAACAAACGTCTAATAAAGACTAGTACAAGACAACTACGTAGTAGTTGGGAGGCGAGATAATCGGATTGAACATGGCTATGGTGTAACGGATAGAACCGAATACGATTACGAATACGAGGGGATAAAATAGGAAGGCGACTGGTAGTACGGGACAGTTGAGAACCCGGCAGTATCAAGTAGGAGGCTGAACGGTGGAGACGTGTTGTGATTTGTGAGAATAGGAACGATGGACACGTGCATTCTGTTATGTGAGGACTAGTGAGGACAGTGGGGGTCAGTTGGTTCATTGTATTATTGTGGAACATTGATGCATTGTTATGTGGAGCATTTCTATTGATTCATGTAATAAAGAGATCAATGTAAACCTGCATTTCCGAGTATCTATATTGTGGTCGATGTTGTGTGCTGGTCAAAGGTAGCACGAGTAAATACACTCGGTAACATTTGGCGCTGTCAGCAGTGAAATCGGTAACATTTGGCACTACAAGTAAATAGACTCGGTAACACATATATATATATATATATATATATATATACATATATATATATATATATATATATATATATATATATATATATATATATATATATATATATATATAGAGAGAGAGAGAGAGAGAGAGAGAGAGAGAGAGAGAGATAAATAGATTAATATTGTGACTACTTTTAGGCCAACTTGTTGGGGATTCGAATATATAACGGTATTTTCTGTATAAAAAAATTCACAATTTCACGTAAACTATATTTTTCTTTAAGCTAGCCTACATCTTATCATTATCATTGTTTACTCTTTTTAAATAACAATAGCGGTATTAACGATTCTATTTATTTGTTTACCGATTTTAAAAAAAAATGTATTCGTATTTGGTTCGGCAGGTACAAGAACGAGAAGTTAGTGACCTACTTACAAGCCCTATTCTAACAAGTCTAAAAAAAAGTAGTTTCCCTTTCAGATATATTGAGTCATAGGGCAGGTCAAGTAGAGTTCATGTTTTCGTGCTTGTGAAGGTGTCTTAAAGGAAATCAGGTACCAATTTGAGCTGGGTGGACTAAGGGTCTCTGCTGAGGTCCGGATCGGGATCCGAACTCAAGACTTTCGTGTTAGCAGTCGAACGCACTAACACTCGACCACATGTCTAAAGTACCACAAGTGAATGTAATCTCAGTTTACAAAACGTAAAAAAAAAATGTTTTATAAAATCTAGGTGCTGATATTAAGTGATAAAGAAAAATAAATGAAATAATTTCACAAAAGAAATTTCGACAAAACAAAGAAGATGGTCAGAAACGGAGTTCGATAAAATACATCTAAGCCAATTATGGCAAAACGGAGTTCCATAAAATACATCTAACCCAATTATGGCAAAACGGAGTACCATAAAATACATCTAACCCAATTATGGCAAAGAAATAAGGCGGGAGTCATCTCCCCTAAAGTTTCTCGTATATTTGTATACTCAAACAGTAAAGGGGAATGCACTTTGAGATTCATCGGACTATTTAAAAGTATTTTATTCTTTTTTTAATGCTTGAAAAATAACTGCGCACTAACTGAACGCAAACAATGTGCGTTAAATAGCACGGAAAAAAATTGCTTTATCGAGGAAACACTGATTTAATTTTAAAAAGTTAATTAAACATTAAGCCAGATGTTATGTCACAGTGCATTGTCATCGAGTCTTCGCCCACACGTGAATTTTTTTTATCGGTGGTCTATTTTGAGAAATCGGAAGAGCCGTAAAGTATTATTTCCGGTTACCGGAAATTACACAAAATTTAACAGAATAAACATCTAAGATCTTATACCTATGTGTGAAGTAAATAATTATCATTTAAAAAGTTTAAAAAAACCCACGTTTTCTGATTGAACTAAAAAGTAAAAAATAAACGCTATACATCACAATAATGCAAGCGATCACTCTACTATAAGCGATGGAAAATTTGGGGCGCCGAAATAAAAGTTATATTACTATTGATTAGATAATACTATTGACTTTTATTAGGGAGCTTGTAGAGAGTCAACAGTATTAGATTTAGAAACTGTAAGAAAATCACGGCGCCCCACGTTTTTCATCGCTTATAGTAGAGTGATCGTTTGCATTATTGTGATGTATAGCATTTATTTTCTACTTTTTAGTTCAATCAGAAAACGTGGGTTTTTTAAAACTTTTTTAATGATAATTATTTTCTACTTTTTAGTCTTTGTCTGTTTGTTTGCATTAAAATCTTGCTATCGATTTTATCTTTTCGCATTCACTTTTTTTTGGGTAAACGAAGACAACTCGTAAAAAACACGTGCCTTGAACCCGTGTCGAGTGGGTTAGCAATCGTGTGCCCCACCACTCGACCATATCGTCTCCCCCATACTGGCCACCAGTTGTTCCGGTTGTTTGTACACAAACACCACGTGAACACTACTCAGTAAGCAAAAAGAGGGAGAGTACCAAACCTTGTTTTCATCAAATTACAATTACTGGGTTATGTCCCTTTTCCCCCACGTTTTTTGTACAACTATATAGCGGTCTAAAATGATCAATAAAATGTTTCCATGGATCAATTTAGTAATAATAACAATTGAATGTTCTATTGTCATCGGAAACAAAGCTTCCCTGAAAATTTTAGCGCGCTAGCTAACTGGGAAGTGCCCGAAATTTCGATCGCAAGATTTGATTGGAAAGACGCGAAAGCAAGTTAAAGAAAACGTGGTAAAAAATAACAACAAACGGAAGCAAACTACATCGCGGTCATTCGGTTTAAGTTGTATTTACTTATTTACTCTGCAAGAAAATGTGTTGTTTCGTTCTAGATTCATCAAATGATGGGCTACTGCCCGGAAAGTGATTTGCTGTGTGAAGACCTCACGGGTCGGGAGTCCCTTTACCTGTTCGGGCGTCTTCGAGGCGTACCTGAGAGCAGTCTTAAAGCTGTGACAGATGACCTGCTCAAGGCTGTTTTGTTGGAGCCGCACGCTGATGAAAAGGTGGAATATTACAGGTATTCAAAGAGTGGAATATTACAGGTATTCAAAGAGTGGAATATTACAGGTATTCAAAGAGTGGAATATTACAGGTATTCAAAGAGTGGACTTATACAGGTATTCAAAGAGTGGGCTAGTACAGGTATTTAAAGAGAGGACTAGTAAAGATACTCAAAGTGTGGACTAGTACAGGTATTCAAAGAGTGGAATATTACAGGTATTCAAAGGGTGGAATATTACAGGTATTCAAAAAATGGACTAGTACAGGTATTCAAAGAGTGGACTAGTACATATATTCAAAGAGTGGACTTGTACAGGTATTCAAAGTGTGGACTAGTACATATATTCAAAGAGTGGAATATTACAGGTATTCAAAGGGTGGAATATTACAGGTATTCAAAGAATGGACTAGTACAGGTATTCAAAGAGTGGACTAGTACATATATTCAAAGAGTGGACTTGTACAGGTATTCAAAGTGTGGACTAGTACATATATTTAAAGAGTGGACTAGTACAGGTATTCAAAGAGTGGACTAGTACAGGTATTCAGGTATTCAAAGAGTGGCCAGGTAGAGGTATTCACGTATTCAAAGAGCGGACTACTACATGTATTCAATAATGTATTAGTACATATATTAAAAAACGTGACTAGCACCGGTATTAAAAGAGTGGACTAATACAGATATTCAAACGGTGGTGTAGTTCAGATATCCAAAAAGATAGACATGACAGTTTTCTAAAGACTGGACAGATCAAACGTATTAAGATAACCGCAACTATTAGCGCTAAATCTCACCCTGTCGGAGTATTCAAATTTTACGGTGCACGGATGAAAGGTGTAATAATGCATAAAAAACAAACAAACCCACAGACAGATGGGAACAGGGCATTTCCCCCCTGTCAATTACCCCCCTGGACATTTCCCCCCGACATTACCCCCGGAGTAATTTACCCTCTGTCAATTACCCCCCGCCCAGTAGGACATTACCCCCCCCCCGGACATGGTTAGAGTTAGGGCTAGGTTTAGGGCTAGGGTTAGGGTTAGAGCTAGGTTTAGGGTTACGGTTAGGGTTAGGGCTAGGGTTAGGGTCAGGGTCAGATTCAGGGTTAGGGTTAAAGTTAGGGTTAGGGTTATGGTTAATATTAGAGCTAGGGTTAGGGTTAGGCTTAAACCAATGTCTAGCGTTGGTTTTGGTTTTGTGTGAAGTTTTAGGCTAAGGTGGATGCCTAGGTTTTGGTCTTTTTCTTAAGGTTTGGATTAAAGTAGTATATAGGTATAGAATTCTTGTTAGAGTTAGGATTCTAACTTGAGAGGGAGGTGGGGGGGGGGGGGGGTATCGACAGGGGGTAATTGACAGGGGGTAATTGGCAGGGGGGTTATTGCTCCGGGGGGGGGGGGGGGGTAAATACGGGGGGTAATGTCCTGTAGCCCAGACAGACATACCCACAAACATACATGCATTTATATTAATAAATATATAGTGTACAGTGTATAGAACTTAAACAACATAGAAACCGGCAATTATATTAGTAGCAGCATACTATACCTAGAAGAAAAGTCCCAACGATATAGAAATATTAAAACAGTATTTAATTAATTTTATTTTTGTTAACTATTGTAAAACGAAATACAAATCTTCGCTGCCAATGTAACATTAATAATTAATAAACCGGGAGTGATCTCCCCTAAACTTTCTCGAATATTTTTATATAAAACTAGAATACCCGTCATCCGTTGGATAACTGTGGGTTTCGGGGGTCATCAATCAAAAAACATCACGTCTGTCATTCAGAGGCAGAGCGACCCTTCCCGGCGCCCGGGGACAAAGTTTTCGATTTGAACCCCCCCCCTCAAACTTTTGATGTGCACCCCCCCCCCCCCACTCAAACTTTCGATTTGAACCCCCCTCAACCTTTCAATTTATTTTTCCAAACCATTTTGGCGCCCCAACATATGTCCCCCCCCCCCGCCTCCCCCCCTCCACCTCCCCCGCCTCCCCCCCCCCTCCCGCCCCCCCCCCTCCTCGCTACGCTACTGCAGTGTCACTTATCGTCACAAAAAACAGACCCCACATTCAAAAATATGTTTTTTATCTTTTAAAAACACCGAAAACACCGATTTCGGACTATCCCTTCATATACTGACGTCACATGTGACCTACTCAACTCTACTTCACCTGCCCAGTGTCCCGCCAAGTCTCAGACAACATGTTTTTATCGTTTAAAAAACGATTCCAGCCGAGCATGTCTCTGACCACACTATCCTTTCATATGCTTAGGACAAAGAAACAGATGAACTCTACTTCACCTGCCCTGTATCCTGCCAAGTTCAGATAGGCAACTTTATCATTCACATCTAAAAAAAAAAATTGAAAAAAATTATCATTGACATATTGGTCTAGAACCTTTGCCACCCGCATGAGAGCGGACTACGCTACCATCTTAGCTATTTACTCGTTACGTCACAAGTGAATTTTTATACTATACTTTGAGTCTCCTTATGCAACTTGATTTACGCCAAAGATATAGAACTAAGTCTAGTAGCAGTAACTTTCAAATTAAATTTTATCTTAAATTAGCCAAACAAAGATTTATATAAAATAAAAAAGGTCTGAAATTATCTAAATCTAGATAGAATTATCTAGACCTAGATTCTACGACTCGTTTGCTTAAGTCTTAAGTTTAGTTTTTCTTGCTAGATCTAGAATCTAGATCTAGATTTAATCATTAGCTACGCTAATAGGCCCGGAGCGAGCATTTCAAAATTACCATATTCCAAACAAACATATATATAAAATAATAAAGGTCTAAAATAGTTTAGTATATAGAAAATCATTATTATCTAAATCTAGATAGAATTATCTATATTTTAGATATACGACTGAGCTATATCTAGAGTTTACGTCTATAATTTTGCACACTTAGCGGTATAGAAGCCGCGTATGAATCTTAAGCTACGCAAATAGATCTAGGCCCTGACTCCAGCATTTCAAAATTTGCATAGGGGCCTAGTCAAAACAAAGATTTATACCAAACAATAAAGGTCTAAAATATTTTAGTATATAGAAACTCATTATTATCTAAATCTAGATAGAATTATCTATATTCTAGATCTACGACTGGTCTGCTTAAGTCTCGCTTTTTGGATTGTATTTATAACTAATAAATCTTGGATTTGACCTAGATTCTAGATCTAGATCTATAAATAACTTTCCTTCGACAGCTGATCTTTAGATCTAGAGAAATTTATTGTAAAACTAAATGAAAAAGACAGTTGAAAATTGATATAAGTGTTGGAACGTAATAAATACAGCAAACGGACGTATTGTTTAAGTTATAGCCGGCAGAAAATTAGCTTTGTAACGCGTTAAACTTTTGAATGGGCCACAAAGTCTATGATGGAGTCCGCCATTTTTATTGTACCAAAAAGTAAACACATCAAGGGACGTCACTATCCCCACAAAGTTTATTCAAAGTATTAACATTTTTTTAAAAATACGGTTAATTTAACTATGAATAAATCAATAAATTAATTAACGTCTTTAAATAAATTTGTGATTAACAGTCTGTCTTAAAACAAAAATTGTTCTCTACCTACATACTATTTTACAGCTTTCCACGATGAGTGCAACCATGCGAGATAGTCAATCAGGCAAACAAACAAACAAACAAAAAAACAAATAAATATTCAAACATGTAAACAAACTTGACTTTTAGTAGTATACTAGAATACCCGTCATCCGTTGGATAACTGTGGGTTTCGGGGGTCATCAATCAAAAAACATCACGTCTGTCACTCAGAGGCAGAGCGACCCTTCCCGGCGCCCGGGGACAAAGTTTTCGATTTGAACCCCCCCCCCCCCCCCCCGCAAGATTTCGATTTGAACCCCCCCCCCTCAAACTTTTGATGTGCACCCCCCCCCCCCACTCAAACTTTCGATTTGAACCCCCCTCAACCTTTCAATTTATTTTTCCAAACCATTTTGGCGCCCCAACATATGTCCCCCCCCGCCCCCCCCCTTCCCCCATCCACCTCCCCCCACCTCCCCTTCCCCCCCCCCCCCCGCCTCCCCTCCCCTACCGTCCCCCCCCTCCTCGCTACGCTACTGCAGTGTCACTTATCGTCACAAAAAACAGACCCTACATTCAAAAATATGTTTTTTATCTTTTAAAAACACCGAAAACACCGATTTCGGACTATCCCTTCATATACTGACGTCACATGTGACCTACTCAACTCTACTTCACCTGCCCAGTGCCCCGCCAAGTCTCAGACAACATGTATTTATCGTTTAAAAAACGATTCCAGCCGAGCATGTCTCTGACCACACTATCCTTTCATATGCTTAGGACAAAGAAACAGATGAACTCTACTTCACCTGCCCTGTATCTTGCCAAGTTCAGATAGGCAACTTTATCATTCACATCTAAAAAAAAAAAAAAATTGAAAAAAAAAATTTCATCGACATATTGGTCTAGAACCCGTGCCACCTGCATGAGAGCCGACTACGCTACCATCTTAGCTATTTACTCGTGACGTCACAAGTGAATTTTTATACTATACTTTTGAGTCTCCGCGCATAGATCTAGATCTAAGTCTAGTAGTAGTAACTTTCAAATTAAATTTTATCTTAAATTAGCCAAACAAAGATTTATATAAAATAATTAAGGCCTGAAATAGATTCTAGATGTAGAATTTACATTAAGTCTAGATCTAGAATTTACATTGAGTCTAGTGACCTACATCTAGGCTAGATCTAGATAGATCTAGATTTTTTCATAACTTTCCTTCGACAGCTGATCTTTAGATCTAGAGAAATTTATCGTAAAACTAAATGAAAAAGACAGTTGAAAATTGATATAAGTGTTGGAACGTAATAAATACAGCAAACTGACTTATTGTTTAACTTATAGCCGGCAGAAAATTAGCTTTGTAACGCGTTAAACTTTTGAATGGGCCACAAAGTCTATGATGGAGTCCGCCATTTTTATTGTACCAAAAAAGTAAACACATCAAGGGACGTCACTATCCCCACAAAGTTTATTCAAAGTATTAACATTTTTTAAAAAAATACGGTTAATTTAACAATGAATAAATCAATAAATTAATTAACGTCTTTAAATAAATTTGTGATTAACAGTCTGTCTTAAAACAAAAATTTTTCTCTACCTACATACTATTTTACAGCTTTCCACGATGAGTGCAACCATGAGCAATAGTCAATCAGGCAAACAAACAAACAAACAAAAAAATAAATATTCAAACATGTAAACAAACTTGACTTTTAGTAGTATATAGATAGATAACAGGGGATGGGAACTCGGGCTATAGACATGATTTTTAATCCATATTTAATACTTAAAGTTTTAAAAATAGAATAAAATCTCTTAGACAAATTAATTGCACACCAAGTGAACGCGAAATAAAAAAGCGCATAATAGTGCGCAATATTATTAGTACTTTTAAAATTTACATTAGTTTTTTGAGAAATCGGAAGTAGCGTAAATTACTACTTCCGGTCAACGGAAATTACTCAAAATTTAACAGAAGGTAGAGAATTAGATCTTTTACTTACATGTGAAATTTCATTTATCTATCTGAAATAGTACTCAAGTTATAGGCTTTTGAAAAATTCAAAGTAGAAAAAGTACCACTTCCGGTTATCGGAAATCGCTCAAAAGTTGATACGGATCTACGATTTTGATAAAATACTTATATATGAAATTTCATCAACCTAGCAGTAACGGTACTCAAGTTATCGTGTTTACACACGGACACACAGACAGACACACACACACACACACACAGACATACGGACAAGATTGCAAAATTATGTTTTTCCGTATCAGTGAGGTGTAAAACGTCGAGATTTGTAAAAATCTCGATTTTTTTTTTTTTGCACGATTACAATACTTTCTCTATACTACGTATATTCGAGAAAGTAAAAAGTAATAGATATTTCATTGTATCTTCCACAGCCTGGGCAACAAACGCAAACTTTCCACAGCACTGGCCGTGATTGGCGACCCCCAGTTTGTCATGCTGGATGAACCAACATCTGGCATGGATGCTATGGCCAAGAGAGCCATATGGGACTTGCTCCAAAACGTCAGATCTCTTGGCTCCACCCTCGTCTTGACCTCACAGAGGTTCGCCTTGCCTCGTGTGTCTATTTATAAATGGTTTTTTTTTTCGTTTTCTGGCTATATTGAACTGGTTAAAGTCATGTGAACTTTGGAGCAGGATTAGAGTTATGGAATGTGATTAGGTCCTTGAGCTAGTGTTGTTCCAGTACTTCCATATATCCAGCTTACATCCATGTTGTTACACTACTACCCTATATCCATGTAGTTCCATAACTTCTCTTTATCCAGTTTATATCCATCACATTCTATTTACCTCTCTATATCCACGTTGTTCCTTTACTTCACATTATCCAGATTATATCCATGTTATTTCTTTAATACCCTATATCCAGATTATATCTATTACGTTACATTACTCATCTATATCCAGCTAATATCCATGTTATTCCGTATTCCCCTATATCCAGGCTATATCCATCATGTTCCATTACCCCCCAAATATCCCGCTAATATCCATATTATTCCATTACCCCCCCCCCCCCTATATCCAAGCTATTTCCACCATTACTTCCCTATATCCAGCATACATCTCTCATTTTCCATTACTTTCCTATATCCACCATAAATCCATCATGTTCCATTACTTCCCTATATCCAGGCTATATCCATCATGTTCCATTACTCCCCTATATCCAGCTTTTATCCATCATGCTCCATTACTTCCTTCTATCCAGCATAAATCTATCATGCTCCATTACTTTCATATATTCAGGCTAAATCCATCATGTTCCATTACTCCTCTATATCCAACTATATCCACGTTGTTCTGTAATCTCCAGCATGGAAGAGTGTGAACTCCTATGTACAAGACTGACCATTATGGTGGGCGGGAAGCTCATGTGTCTAGGCAGTCCCCAACACCTGAAGACAAAGTACGCCCAGGGTTATACAATAACCGTACACCTCAGCCAAGGTTCTCTTTTCTCGATCAACTCGACCGTGGATTATCTTTCACATATCTTCAAACACTCCGAGGTAAGAGGGAGACAGGACCTAAAACTGTTTGAGCTTTTTTTTTTAAAAAAAAAAATTATTATTTTCTCACCGCAGCAGTGCTACGATCATTAAAAGGTTCTCTATACAGACAAAGGGTCTAAAAACATCTAAAGTGTGTGTATAGATGGTACAGATATTTGTAGTGAAAATATTTTGACGAATATAATTAAAGGATTTTTTTTTTACGTGATTAAACACAGTTATCATTTATTAAAAAAAAACACGAGGACAATTTATTTAAATTAGAAATTTAAAAAAAACGTCCATTATGTATCGTGTTTCATGCCATATAATTGAGATTTGTATGTGGCATAACAACATGTGGAAGAAACTGCCTTTCTTTTGAAAACATTGAATCCGGTGGACTTAAATTCAGGATTCAAACTGGAGATTTTATCGATAGGTGTCGTATGCTCTGCTATTCATCTACGACGTCCCAGGTGTTAGGTAAAACAATCCACTTATTCATCAGATCTTTAATCAGATGGAAAACTACAAAAACATCAAGATAATGTGTTTACAACGATGTTCCATAGATCTTTAAATAGATGGAAAACTACAAACACATCAAGCTAATGTGTTTACAACGATGTTCCCTGGATCTTTAAATAGATGGAAAACTACAAACACACCAAGCAGCTAATGTGTTTACAACGATGTTCCCTGGATCTTTAAATAGATGGAAAACTACAAACACACCAAGCAGCTAATGTGTTTACAACGATGTTCCCTGGATCTTTAAATAGATGGAAAACTACAAACACATCAAGCTAATGTGTTTACAACGATGTTCCCTAGATCTTTAAATAGATGGAAAACTACAAACACATCAAGCTAATGTGTTTACCACGATGTTCCCTGGATCTTTAAATAGATGGAAAACTACAAACACATCAAGCTAATGTGTTTACAACGATGTTCCCTGGATCTTTAAATAGATGGAAAACTACAAACAAATCAAGCTAATGTGTTTACAACGATGTTCCCTAGATCTTTAAATAGATGGAAAACTACAAAAACATCAAGATAATGTGTTTACAACGATGTTCCATAGATCTTTAAATAGATGGAAAACTACAAACACATCAAGCTAATGTGTTTACAACGTTGTTCCCTAGATCTTTAAATAGATGGAAAACTACAAAAACATCAAGATAATGTGTTTACAACGATGTTCCATAGATCTTTAAATAGATGGAAAACTACAAACACATCAAGCTAATGTGTTTACCACGATGTTCCCTAGATCTTTTAATAGATGAAAAACTACAAACACACCAAGCTAATGTGTTTACAACGTTGTTCCCCAGATCTTAAATTAGATGGAAACCTACCAACGCCAAGCTCATGTGTTTACCTCATTGTTCCCTAGATCTTTAAATAGATGGAAAACTACAAACACATGAAGCTAATATGTTTACAACGTTGTTCCCCAGATCTTAAATTAGATGGAAACCTAATTCAACCAAAATAATATGTTTACAACGTTGTTCCCTAGATCTTAAACCAGATGGAACACCTACCAACACACCAAGCTAATGTTTTTACAACATTGTTCCCTAGATCTTTAAATAGATAGAAAACTACAAACACACCGAGCTAATGTGTTTACCTCATTGTTCCCCAGATCTTTAACGAGATGGAAAACTACCAACACATCAAGCATCTAGTGTTTTTACAACGCTGTTCCCTAGATCTTTAAATAGATAGAAAACTACAAACACACCAAGCTAATGTGTTTACCTCATTGTTCCCCAGATCTTTAACGAGATGGACAGCTACCTCCATATACAGGTCCCTCCAGATCCCCATCCCCTATCGGCTGTCTTTCAACTGATGGAGAAAGCCAAGAAAGACTTACAGTTTGAGCACTACACCGTACAACAAACCTCACTGGAACAAGTTTTCCTAATGTTCATGCAAGAGAACAGTGTGTAACATCTCTGCACGAGAACTCGCGGTTTTGAGAACATTTGTGAAATAGAAAAAGAATCAGGACAATGCTTCAGAGTAATAACCATAACGTTTGTCTACTAACATCTAAATAAAAATATGTCTAAAATTAAATTATCAGTTTTTTTAAAAATGAAATTATATTGTTTATTCATCTTTTGCTGTGTCGATCATACACTCACTATCCCCACCCAGTCATTCATCTAACACCATTTCAGACCATACATATGACCCCCATACACCACACCCAGTTACTCATCAAAACACCATCTCAGACCATACATATCACACCATACACCACACCCAGTTACTCATCAAAACACCATTTCAGACCATACATATCACCCCCATATACCACACCCAGTCACTCATCTAACACCATTTCAGACCATACATATCACCCCCATATACCACACCCAGTCACTCATCAAAACACCATCTCAGGCCATACATATGGACCCCATACCCCACACACAGTCACTCATCAAAACACCATCTCAGACCATACATATGACCACACATATGTCCCCCATACACCACACCACCACACACTCACGAAAAAGAAAACGCAAGGAGTAGACTAAACCCCACCCCACCCGTCTCCACAGCCTAAAGCCCACCAACTCACCCTAGCACAACCTAACCAACCTCTAAATGTTAACACACGCACCGAAAACCACACAACAATCTGAACCACCACAAGACACGTCACCTCGCAAACAACACAACATTCAACAACATACATTAAAACCCACACTTCACTACCCCACATAACACCACACCCAATAACCCCACGATACACACACTTTACCCACCACGAACCGAACACACACACGTCACGCTAATGTTTTTATGAATTGAAGAAGAAACAAACTTGATCTTTCAAGTATAAAATCGGTTAAATTTTCAGCTACATTTTAATTTTTTTTTCATGCTGAATTTAATATTCCACATCACTACAACTTTACTTTGTTATAAGATCTCATTTAGTTAGGTTTTGTTTTTTCAATTACTCATTCCAGTACTATAATTCAAACGTTGATAATATTTTGTCATCAGAAGTCTAATTTCATTTAGATTGAACGAATATAATTTAAAAAAAGTGAAGTTAGGTATGTCATCGTGATTCATTTTCTTTGAAAGAAATATATGTATGCATCTATTTATAATCATTATTATATTATATATTTAAATAATATTAAAATATATATATAAATAAATTTATATATATATATATATATATATATATATATATATATATATATATATATATATATATATATATATATATATATATATATATATATATATATATATATACATACATATATATATATATATATATATATATATATATATATATATATATATATATATATATATATATATAGTTATAATAAAAATAATTGTGATTATTATATATAATTCTATACATGTTTTTTTTGCATTAGTTTTTAGATGCATATTGTTGAATCAGAATGGTAGTTTAAGTAAGGCCTAAGTTTAAAGTTAACATACTTTTAAAAAAAAAAAACAAATAGTATTATAACGTCACATTTTATTTTCTAAAGAGAAACAACTTATAAACAATTAGTCTAACATATTATCAATACAGGCGTTACTAGGTTGGTTGTAGCCATGAAAGGTAACTAGGGGTGTCACACCAGCCCCCTCCCCCTGTAACAATTTAGCTGTTTCAGTTTGGTGTTACCCCACCCAATACAACTTTATCATTTTAACAGGATAAACATTTGTCTAACGTTAATGACAAAATAATAAAGAGAAAGGAACAAAATTGTAACATCCTTAACTGTAATTCTAAAACCACTCCAGTGGTATTAAAGTTCTTTTTTCATAGAATAGTAGGTTGGACTAAAATATCAATATTTAATCAAAGGCCCCTCTAATCGGCGTAAAATGTTCTTTCTCAGAGTGACAGGAACAAAATTTAAGCTATAGCAGTCTACCCCTCGGTGTACAATTTGTGCAAAGTGGAGAGGAAGTTCTTGTAATTTTTCCCCCGTATGCGGGTCGCTGTCAGGGTTGTTGCCAAAAATGATGAGCTTGCTCCTATACGTCAGCGCACCATACAACTTCTTTTGAAAATTCCAAAGCTTAGCGAGAAATTTAAACTGTATGTGACCATCGTCAGTTGAATTCAGCACCAGCCATAAACTGCCAGAAGCCTGCAAAATGTAGTTGTGTTTGTCATTCTTGAAACTAATCAGGTGTTCAGCGGGTCCATCTAGGTTATCTAATCTGGTCCAAATGCTTGTCGATATATCCAGTTTATGAACGGCTGTTTCTACAACGTTGTCGTTACTACCCGAACAAAATAACAGGAGAAAGTTGTCCAGGATCATGGCATGTTTAACTTCAGAGTTTTGTGGCAAATGTGTGATTTTTTTTATTTTTGGGTTACGCGATTTTGGAGTCAATTTATAAATAATCTTGTTGTCTTTGTTTATTACGTAGATAAAATCTCCGTGTGAAATCAATAACAAATTGTGACTTGGTAGTTTCATCACTTCTTTCCAGTTGTCCTCACTAAAGACAAACATTTGACACGGTCCATTTGATTCGTTTAGTTCTGTTCCCGTTGCATAAAGTTCACCATTAAATGTAATAAGCTGAATGTTTTTGAATAAATCCACACACCTTTTCACGGAGAACATTTCTTCTTTCTCGGCACTTATTAAAAGAAAATGCCCCAGACGATTTGTATAAGCCCCCACATGCATGTACTCACTACAAGATCGGTGTATGGCAGCTGAAGGCCACTGATCGTGTCGGGATTCCTTGACATGGAATGACATGGCATCGACAATTATTGCCCTTGATTCTTTGTTTTCTGATATCATATCCATTTTTAGGACACGACATAGAAACAGATGACTCACAAGACATGTCCTGACTTCCCTCAACAGTTCAGTCAGTTTATCTTTTCTAGACGATGTCTCAGTTGATTCAATGTCAAGAGAGTTATTGGACTTTATTTTTTCTACTTGCATCTTAGCGTTTTCAGAAAAGTCCAAAATTTGAGCGGCATCTTGAAGTAGATTATAGCCGCATCCTTTTAATTCGTTTTCATCTACACATAGTATACTTTCAGTGTTCAGTTCATCATTGTTGTTTGTCAAGATTTGATTATCATTCTCCAATGCAGTGGCGTAGGCAGGGGGGGGGTTAGGGGGGGTTATAACCCCCCCCCCATGTACCCCCAATATGACTACCTTTTTACGTTAAGCTACAGCTATTGACTTGTGTCGATATTATTTAGGGCTTAAACACTAAACACTTAACCTGGCAGCCTCTAGAACAACAATGTATATCATTGTGATGAGAATTGCCTGTAGAATTTAGTTATGAATTTTATTATCGTGCTAAAGTTAAGTATAATAATCTGGAACGCAGTAGGCCAAGGGAAAGTTGGCCAAGGTTAGATCAGTTAAGGAGTGTCGAATGGGGAGGGGTGGGCTACGTGGGTAGGCCTTTGTTGTCTAATATGATTGTAGTGCAACCGGAAAGCGCCTAGAAATTTAAAAAAAAACAACAACGAAGGAATTGATTATTATTCGCATTGAGGTTCTATAATGTGTATGTTTTTACTACTTCAAAACATTTGAAATTCATTTCACTAATGGCGGATGAAACAGGGAAACTGAAAACTATTTAATTTTTAAAAAGATAAGTAAACTGAAAATGATAAAGATGGCAGAGGACACAAGGTTATCAGTTAAAGGGTGTGACAGGGGGGGGGGGGGTGAGGGTGGGTTTGAATATGGGTACGTCTCAATTACTACCGGATGCACATCTGGCAGGAAAGCGTGGGCTGGACCCACAATTGTTGACACAAAACTTAGTGTTGGTAGATATAAAAACTGCGTAGGTGGTTAAATATAGATGTAGAGCCAGGAACCTACAGTATTCATTTTTAGACAGTCAGAAAAGAAAGACCAATAATTATTTATTTTCTTATTCGCATAGTCGTGTTTTAATGTGTATCTTTTTGATAATTAAAGCAATTTAAATTCATTTTAATGATGTCGGATGGAAAAAGGAAATTTAAAACTACTTTATTAACTGATTTCTTTACAAAGAAAAATAAAACTGAAAATGATAAAAATGAAGATGGTACTATTGACTCTCAAACTACATTACATCAAGAAATTTCCATAAATTCAGCACCTTTGACTGTTTCTTATGCAAATGATATCGGCAATTTTATCAAAGGAGTTATTACAGATGATACACGGTTGTATTTATTAGAAAACATCTGGCGTCCCGAAGAACTTTTTAAATTTCCAGCAAGCGGACAAAGAAATTTAAAGTTTCAATATTCGTGGCTACTTAGGTGGAACTGGTTGACTTATTCCAAATTACTTGATGGCGCATTTTGCAAATATTGTGTTTTGTTTAGTTTGAATTATGGTGGTGTAGGTAGTCAGCCTTTAGGTAAGTTATCAAAAATTCCATTTTCAAACTGGAAAAAGGCAACAGACAAGTTTAATGAGCACCAGCAATGTGAATATCATAAAAGAGCAATTTTACTTTCCCAAAATCGTAAATCGGTTATGGAGAAAAAAATAGAACCTATTAACATCGCCTTGAACTCATCAGTAAGTCAACAAATTCTAGAAAATCGTTTAAAGTTAGCGCCCATAATAGAAACTATAATTTTTTGCGGCCGACAAGGTCTTGCACTTAGGGGGCACAGGGATTTCGGAAATTTTCAGTTGGAGGATCCTGACGAAAATGATGGAAATTTTCGAGCTCTTTTAAGATACAAAGCCATGGGTGGAGACGAAACACTTAAACATCATCTAGAAAATTCTTCAAAAAATGCAAGATACTTAAGTCCCACCATTCAGAATGAAGTGATAAATGTGTGCAATAAATTAATTGTTCAAAAGATTGTTGCGAAAATTACTTCTGTTAAATTGTTTTCTGTCTTAGCCGATGAAACTAGTGATATAGCTGGTATGGAGCAATTTTCGTTGTGTGTTCGCTACTATGATAACGACATAAAGAAAATAAGGGAGGATTTCCTACAGTTTGTAGGTGTAACTGATCTAACAGGCAAAGGACTTGCAAATGTTTTAATGGACACTCTAGCAAATTTACACATAGACGGTAATTTTATGATAGGTCAAGGATATGATGGAGCCGCTGCAATGAGTGGTCGACTTCATGGGGCGCAACAATATGTTGCTGAGAAATTTGATTTGGCTATTTACGTGCATTGCGCATCTCACAGTCTAAACCTAGCACTTTCTGATGCCTGCGAACTACCAGCTGTGAGAAACTGTATGGGAATTCTTAATAGTACATACAACTTTTTTAACACACCAAAACGACAATCTTTGCTTGCAAATTCAATAGAGAAATTAACACCTAAAGCATCAGCATCTCGACTTAAACGATTGTGCGCAACCAGATGGATTGAGCGTCATGAGTCTGTCAACGTTTTTATACAGCTTCAAAAAGCAACTGTTGATGCACTGGAAATTATGTCATCCTGGCACGATACAACAACTTCTTCAACAGCGGTTCAACTTTTAGGAGCAATTAGGAGTCTTGAGTTTCAAGTTTCTCTTAGAGTTATCTCAAAAATCTTTGCAGAATACTCCAAACAGAAAACTTTGATCTATCTGCGGCTCTAAAATTTACAGAAGATTCAAGTAGCCTACTAGTGAATATGCGGAAGGATGCTGAATCAGAATTTACTACCGTATTTAATGAAGTCAAAGACATTTGTGAGGACTTCGACATAGATATACTTATTCCACGTCGAGCTGGAAAACAAATTCAACGCTGCAATGTTATGGCAAATACGCCTGAAGAGTATTACAGAATAGCTGTATTTATTCCTTTCCTTGATTCGGTTATATGTCAAATAGGAGACAGATTGCTAAAACATAAATCTGTTTTGAGAGGTTTTATGTGTCTTTTACCCAATGACTCGGGTTTTACCAAAGAACAGGAAAAGAATGCCATAACACTTATGCAAAAATATGAACGTTTGATTAACAGCAGTGTCATCGATGAAAGCATTGGAGAACTGAAACTGTGGTGGCGCCACATTATTACAAGTGGAAATGTACCGCAAAACGCTCATCAAGCTTTTTTAATGTGTGACGTAAAAATATTTCCAACAGTACACAAACTACTGCAAATATTTGTAACATTGCCTGTAACAACTGCCGTTAGCGAACGCTCTTTTTCCACTCTCAGACGGCTAAAAACGTACTTGCGAAATACTACTTGCGAGGATAGACTAAATGGATTGGCATTATTAAATATTCACCGACAAATTGAAATTTTAGCGGATGAGGTTCTTGATGAATTAGCCAAGAGTCCAAGAAGACTTGAACTACGATTATAGGTAAGTAATGTTATAAGTACTTTTATCTGTTTGCTGTGTTCTAGTACTGTTATTGCGTCTATATATATATATATATATATATATATATATATATATATATATATATATATATATATATATATATATATATATATATATATATATATATATATATAAAATGCTGGAAAAAAATTGGAACCCCCCCCATGAGACGATCCTGGCTACGCCACTGCTCCAATGAGTTTATCATAATTTTAGGAACATATGCTACCCATTTGAGCACCGATTCCAGAACATCATCTTCTTTGCTGACAACTAAATCTTGACTTTTTATTAAATCCTTCACTTCGTTAACAGACATCGTTAAAAAGGTTGGAGAATGTCTAATTTCTTCAAAGTTTTTTAACATGAATATATGCAGTTGATCAAGGCATCTTTTTGAGCTTAACTGTGCTGCTGTCTCATATATGTTCCCCCACGTTTCAATGGCAATAGCGTCAATAGCAAAACTCTCACATAATTCCACCAAGAACATGATTTGCAACATATTCACTGCCCTCCATATTTCGATAGAATTCTCTGAAGTTAAATCTATTTCACCGCTGTAAAGTGTGTTTAAAATCGTCTTAAAAACCTCACTTGGAATATCATGCAGGACAACGCTGTTATCTGTCACCTCTCGTAAACGCGATCGGAAAAGTGCCTGGAAAAATTCAGAACACCCTGCTAGGATGAGTCGATGACATTTGATTGATTCGTCATCGATCTTAACCGTGAAGTCACAGAACATGTCGTCAGTCCGTACACCCCCCACACACTGGACGATTTTTGTGCAGATTTCCCGTGTGTTCATCATTGGAACACACCCTAAAATGTGTTAAAAGAGAGAAATATTGTACACATATAAACATTGTCATAACATATTTTTTGGAGCATTTTCATTATAGATCTAGATCTAGTGTGATGATGCTAGTTTAGGTCAAGTAGATAGAGAAACAGACTATAGATAGTTGGGTAGAAAGACCAACGGACGTACAGGAGCTGACCGGTCAGCTGATGACTGAGGTGTGGGCCAGTAGTTAGATTAGCGGCAGTTGATAGGTAGCTAGCGAAGAGAAGAGATGGCGTTACGTAGCGGTTAGAGACGGTCGTAATATGTAGAGCTAGGGAACAGTTAGATAGTGTTAGGATTGGACATGGGAGTGCGTAGTTAGTAGTAGTAGTAGTAGTAGATCGTATAGAATAGGCTAGTTAGGTAGGGAATTAATTTGATTGTTTAATAAAGGACATTATCTTTTGGATCGGACTTGTGTGTGTTAATTCCAAACTATAACCAGGCTGGTATTATCTTCATCACCCCCCCCCCCACTCACACATCTGGGTGGTTGCTGTTTATCCCCCCCCCCAACAACTGGTAGAGCAACGGAAAACCATCTAAACCATCCCCCCCCCCCCTCACATCTAGTCTATCTTCATTCTAAGACATTCTGCATTATTGTCTATCAAAAACGAATAATAAAATAATGAAACTAATAACAATCCTTAAATATATTCATAAGTCATAGTATAATGGTTCAATGTTACAATTTAAAAGTTAAGATAAAAATCTTTTACTGTTTATATTTACGTTTGGTAGGTTTACAAATGCGTTCTTTAGTCCGTAAAGTAATTGTCTTATAAATATAAATCATAATGTCGGAAGTAGAAACAGGGTGTACGCAAAGTTAAACGTGCTTTTGTGGTGCGATAGAATAATATTTCCCAATGAATTTTAGTGCGCAAATTCAAGGGAATGGAAAGCTCTCTAAGTCACTGAGTAAAACATGTCTATATGAACGGTGGATATTTTTCATAGTAGTCGTTAGATTACTAAAAGGAAATGACTTTTTATCACGTGATGTGCAACAGTAAAAGATTTCGACTTACGAATCTATGTACATTTTCTTAAACATATATTTTTTCATTACAAGTAGATTAGTAGCAAAAACCTTAATAGGCTTAAAGAAATATTTACGTAACATTCGACTGAGTTTTTAAAAATCTAAGTCATGTATAACTGTACATCATACTAATAATGGAAATTGAAGCAAAGTTTATAATTTATTGTGTTTAATTTTTTAAGTTCACACTAAATAAATTATATGTCGAGAAGTAAATTTCAGCCACACTACTAAATCTAGGTAGTAATAAGCCATTGGTGTACTCATGTACAGTGTAAACAGTTGTCTAAAGGAAGGAATTGAACTGAAGACTAGACCACTGTACCTTAGTGTTTCGTTGGCGAGTTTGGAAAATACGAAGTAGAGATTTCCAGCTAGTTTCTCTGTGTATATATATATATATATATATATATATATATATATATATATATATATATATATATATATATATATATATGCCTATATAATTCGCCTTAAAAGCCTATAGAAGCTTAATATCTTTTTGTTCTAAAGAGTGATGGCACCAAGGAAAATGATTCACAAGTGCTAGGGATACATTCGGACCTGACTGTTTGTATGCGCATATGTTCTAGGCAACAGTTGGACAATATACGTCTACCCCACATAGTGTTAGATAATATTTCCATTGACGTCTACTAAGAGTGTGTGGTTTCCAAAATGAGTGAACTATAAGTAAATAACATTGGGATTTTTTTTACCCATTTTTACCTTGCCCGACCCCTTCCTTCCAAACCCCACCACCCCACCCCCATACACAATTATCATTCATGCATGATCACACAATTCACAAACCCCGGCCCCTAACTAAAAATTATCCTCCCACGTTAGAAACACTGCTATTTTTCTTGTTTGTCTTTCAAAAGGGGAGATAATCAAGAAATATTGATATTGCGGGAGACTTTACTTGAGTTGCTCCCCGTGTAAGGAAAGTGATGGACATCTGCTGTTTGTTATGCACGTTTATATAGCAAAAACGACACTTTGTGTTTTAATATTTTTTTCGATTCCGGATCAATGTTTTATTCAATGATCAATGGTCATATTTATTTACAATAACAAATACATACAAAAAGTAAAACAACGGCTAAAATTCAGTTGAAGAAATAGGTTTTAAAGTAAAAATGTGGCATGACGCACAGCTACATAAATGGGACCCCCCCCCCCCACCACCCTCCCCGCCACCCCACCCTCGAGAACTAGAAGAATGATGCCATCTATGGATGACGCCAAACGTATTGGAGTCAAATCATGTTAGGAGAGAAGAATTTTTAAATATTTCTTGCTAGAAAACTTTAAAACGTAAAATCAAAAAAAAAATTATATAATATATTTAAGTTAGCCAGACAAAATGACAAATAAAGACCTACGGCAAGACACAAAACAACAGCCAATAGATCGGCACAGTAAAGCCCATAATAAGAATGGATCGGGCACACCCTGAGAAGGGGAGAGGACAACATCGCGAGGAAAGCATTAGACTGGAGTCCCCAGGTAAAAGGAAAATCAAGCCGGCCAAGGAAATCTTGGAGGAGGACAGTAGAAGATGAGGCAAGGGTTGAAGGGCTTACGTGGGCTAAAATAAAGAGAGCTGCCCAAAACTGAATCCGGTGGAGAGGTGAAACTGCAGCCATTTGCTACCCCAGGGGCCACAAAAGAACAATAGAAGAGAGAGTTATATAATATTATTCTATACCAATCTGAGACTTGGTAGCAGTAGACGTCAACCCATCCAAAAAGAGTACTCTAGAATTAAATAACTTTTGATCAGAGGTTGTCCCCCTTGGTCTTCTTTCGGCAGCTTCTGGTACGGGAAGTCAGTAGAATAGGTAATTCTTAGCATCACTGGGTGATATATATATATATATATATATATATATATATATATATATATATATATATATATATATATAGTTAGAGAGAGAGTTAGAGAGAGAGGGAGAGTTAGAGAGAGAGAAAGAGAGAGAGAGAGAGATTGATAGCGAGAGAGAGAGAGAGCGAGAGTTAGAGTTATAGAGAGTTTCAAGGGTCAAAAGATAATCACAACCTGAGATCTCTTTTTCAAATAACTAGGTTTTTTTTTTTTTGGTTTTTTTTTTTGGACGTGTAGCCTAATTTACAGCGTCAGTGTGCCTTGCATGTTCACTTTAGTATTACAGTTTTCACCATCGGCTTGTGAGGACAGATAAAGATTTACAATAGTAATACTTCTTTCTTACGTGTAGATACTTTCATTCTCTTAAGATGGTTTACGAGTACCTCGTTACGCGCCCGGAAGTGGACTCTAGTACTTCCTATGGCGTATCGTTTACCTCCAGAAGCCAAACAAGCCACAACCCCACATGAAATATACCGTGTATGCTAGGATTAACTGTTAACCTTTTCTAGTGAAACGATATACCATAATCTCACCAAAATTATCAGACATTTGAGCTTTTTGCTTCGGTTTTTCTTCACAGCACCGACACACCACGAACAAATTGATCGGCCTTTGAGTGCACGCACTAGACAACAACAAATCACCTCTGAGCGAGTAGAGATTGTGCGCAAGGATTTGTGCCCCTTGCTAACTTCACCTGTTGTTTCCCCTTATCAGCTCTTACCTCCCCTGCATTGCTTCTATAAATAGCTCAATGCTATAATTCTATTTAAAGTTCGTTCTCCATCCGATATGAAATGAGTTTTTTTTCTCATAGGAAGAGGGGGGGGGGGGGGGGGGGGGAGGGGGGAGGGTAGAGAGATAAGATAAAGTGCATGTAAATGTGTATGTTTAAACATTACAACTTGTTTCGTACAAAATTTAAAAACCATTAGCACGTTCTTAATAAATAAAACATGTGGTCAATAAACATTGCCTATATTTAGATATGGCACGCCCAGTTTAAAATAATTAGTTTATTTAAATTATCGTAACTATAATTAGACAGGGCGGATTGGTAAGTACTTAATGGTACATCCCCCCCACAACCCCCTCCCCTCAAGCTAAATTGCAGATAGCCTTTTCTGTATAAAGAACCTGTAAAGGATTAAACTCGGTATGTGATGGTAACAGGATTAATGGAGAGATAAATACAATGTGGGTAGGGTTTATTAAATTTGGAAGTGTTCCATGTGATTTGAAATATTAAAATCTCATTTTATTTTTTCTGATTTTACCTGTGCCCGGTGGTTATGTCCCTTTATGCAAACAGTACACATACCCCAGCCCAAGGGCCATAACAATTTGATTTGCATTTGTTAAGGATTTTAAAGAGTAGCATCATTAAGCAGTAGAGTTTTTTCAGCAATTGATTTATTTTTAATTAATAAGAACCTGTTCATTTCGAAACTAATTTTAATAAACTCTCGTGGATTAAGATATTTATGAACCAAAATACTCAACAATAGAAAAAACCGCAAATTGAAAATTAAAATCCTTAATTGAAAACTCCTAAGTAATTGGGCATAAACATTGATATTATGTAATAAAAATTATACGAGCCGACAAACTTATTTAACGTTTATTCATCCACATGAAGAGTAAATAAAAAAAAAACATTCGGATCATAAGATAAATAATTTTCAGTCAATTCATCGACTGCGATTGTTATAAAATAATTGACTTAACTACTTAACTTCTACTCAGTTGATTTAATTAAGATTAGTTAATTACTGAA